GCAGCAAGCCCAGGCCCAGCGAAAGGCCAACGAGAAGCAGGCAGCTGAAGCACTTGCCCAGGCAGCCAGAGAGCGGCAGGATGCCCCCATGGCAGGCGACGCCGATGAGGTCCAAGAGGAGGAGTCGGTCGACCAGGCCACTGCAGAAGAGCTTCGCGTTTACCTGCGCGACTCTGGTGCTGAGTTCCCAAATGCTGCTGAAGGCTACGAGGATGAGCTCCGAGCAGCTGTCAAGCGCCTCCGCCTGGCCAAGCCTGAGTTCTCACTGTCGCCGTTCATGACGAGAACCAAGTTGCATATTACCACTGTTAATGCCAATTTGTTTGGCACATTGTCCAAGTACCTCGTCGACTGCAGCAGGGTGACGCCCAAGACGCTGACTGGCGTGGCGTCTGGTGCCCCGCGCTGCCCACCGCGGCTGGGGGCACTGAGGGAGGCGTCGCGGTCCTGGCCAAGACCGACATCGCCGTCACCCAGGCGCCGCTGTTGGACGACGGCATCGTGGTGCCAGGCAGGGCTGTGGCGGCCCATTTCCATGCTGCCCTTCCTGGCGGCTTCGTGGCGGTGGCTCTCTACCTCCGCGCGGGTGGGGGCAGGTCGCCCCGCAGCCTGGCGCTGATGTGGCAGGTCGTGCAGTATGTGCAGCGCGTGGTCGCAGGCCCTGGGCTAGCGTGGGTCGTCGGTGGCGACTTCAACATGTCGTCGCAGGAGCTGCTGGAGCATGACTGGCTCCCCTTGGCTAGCGCCAGGTGCGCTGCTCCGCTGGAGCCGGCCTGCATGCAGGCCGTGCCTGCCACGACGCTGGATTATTTCTTGGTGCATGGGCCCATGCTGCATGGCGTCGCGTTCGAGGTTGGCGTCTCCGTCACTGACATTACCTGGCCGCATCGGCCCGTCACGCTGGCCATTGCCAGGCACGCAGAGCCGCCGATCGCCCGCGATCTCGACGGACCGAGGCACTTTCCTCGGGAGGTGGCTGTGGGGTGTGCGCTCTACCCCTGGCACGGCTGGGGGCAGGTATACGGCTCCATCGATCGGGCGCAGTCTCTTCCCCAGCTCGCGACAGCATTGGATTTAGTCCTCCGAGGCGTTGAGGAGGAGCTTGCAGGAAGACGCGACATCGTCGGCTCTCGCAAGCAGCGCTACGTAGGCAGAGAATGCCCCGTCCAGCAGCGCATGCGCCAACTCCAGCGGCGCTCTCCTGCGCGACGAGCACGCCACGGGCCCGACATGAGCGCGTGGACTGTTGCAGCCAGGTGGGCCCAGAACATCATGCAAGTGCGCGGCTACGTGAGCAAGACAGTCGCCCAGCTCACAATCTCCCAGGCCGATCAGAAAGACGAGCAACGAGGTGGTCAGGTGGACCCCTCATCGCGCGCGCCGTCTGTCCCTTTCAATGGCAAGCCGACCGCGCAGGGGAGCAGAAGCGATCAGGTGTGCCCTGCAGCTACCCCCATCAGAGGTCAAGCCAGCTCTGGTTTCGACTTTGGAGGCTGACTTTCTCGATTGAACGCCGGTTGGAGAGCATGGCCCCAACGTGATCGACGACAGCGCAACTACGCGCACCCCGTGCGCCCTGGGGGCAGGGCCTGCTGCTTGTGAGGCCCACAGCGGTGGGGTGGCCGATGCCCTCGCACATGTTGTTGCTCCTGGCGGCCTGGTGAGTTGCTGCGACGCCCGCCCCGTCGCCCTCCCTGCAAGCCCGAGCGAGGCCCACAGCGGTCGGGTGGCCGATGCCCTCGCACATGGCGTTGCTCCTGGCGGCCTGGCGAGGTGCTGCGACGCTCGCCCCGTCGCCCTCCCTGTGAGCCCGAGCGAGGCCCACAGCGGCGGGGTGGCCGATGCCCTCGCACGCGGTGTTGCTGAAGGCGGCATGGGGAGGCGCTGCGACGCTCGCCCCGACGCCCTCCCTGTAAGACAGACGCTGCACAACATGGGCGGCGATATGGACTCCTTCGACGAACTGGATGCGACGCCGCTGGGCGCCGAAGAAGGTCAGGGTGGTCTGGGGGCTGGTGGCCTGCAAGGGCCTGGTCAGGATCCTTCCCCGCTGGTCGCACTACCCACGGGGAGGTCGTTCGTCGCCAAGATGGACGCTGGTGAAGATATCCAGTCTCCAGATCCCAGTCTCGCTCACGATGGACATGGAGGTGGTGCTGCACAGGCGGAGTCTGGCGGCCTGCCTAGGCTTGGTGAGGATCCCTTCCCGCTGGACGCTTGACCCACGGGGGGGTCTTCGCATGCCACGATGGACGCTGGCGAAGATGGCTAGGCTTCGCCCGAGGGCCGCGGTGAGGACCCCGACCAGGTAGTGGCGCAGCGACGACAAGAAGCATGCCAACGGGAGCTCCGACGGTACACCCAGCACTGGATCGGCGACCCGCTCAACGATCAGCAGACCGAGCAGGACGTTCTCGACGACTGGATGGAGTGGTGCGTGCCGTGCACAGCAGAGCAGCTGCGGGACCCAGTGCTCGATGTCCTGTGGGACGGTGGCGGCTGGGACGAGGCCCTACCACGAGATGCACGACGGTGGCATCGGGCCCGTGAGATGCGCGAGTCGGCCCATCGGGCTGGCAGCCGCAGTCGCAGTCGCAGCCGAGCTCACTTCCAGCAGCAGCGCCAACGCTCTGAGGAGGACTGTGCCGAGGCGGTGAACATACATTTACGAGCATTCGAGCAGCAGCGGGAGTGGCTCGACCAGCGCTCAGGCGATCGAGCAGGCCGTGCACCTCAGCCGCGGCCTCCAGGAGCTGCAGGAGGCATGGTCTTCCACGGGCTGCAACACTAGACGCGGCTCCATTTCCTGGCCGCCGAGCTGCTCGCCTTCGAGGCTTTGTGTGGGCGCATCAGCAAGCAGCAGCACATCCTAAGACAGCTGGATGGCGGTGCTCGTGAGATCTTCCAGGCCGGCCCTGAGATTCTGGCCAGCCGCCCGGTGGAGGTCCGACTGCATGGCATCATCGCCAAGGCCAAGCAGCTCACCGCGGAGGCTGAGGCTAGGTGCACCAAAGCCTGGGCCACTTGGGCGAAAGACGCGTTCGCGGGAGGCGCTGGGCTGGCGCGCTGGTTCGCCGAGCCCAGGCAGGAGGTCGAAGTCCCACGGGCCAATGTCAGTGGCCAATGGTGCGACCTCGCGAACACCGAGCCCGGCGACTAGAAGGCCATTTGGGAGCACCACCAGCTCTGCGAGGCCTCGCGCCCTCCTGGTGCTGAGCATTGGCCGGAGCCCCCGCACCTCGCGGTGCAAGACCTGCATTCGGCCATCCGCTCCTTCAAGCAGGGCACGGCCGTTGGCCGAACAGGCCTCCGCCCGAGGCAACTCGACGTCCTTTCCGACGAGGTTTTGCTGTCGTTGTCGCTACTATTCCACGCTTGCGAGCATCACCTTGGATGGCCGCCGCAGCGCGTCGTGACAGTCCTCGTCCGGTTACCAAAGGCTGGAGGAGGCATGAGACTGATCGGGCTACTCAACACGGGCGTTCGCCTCTGGAGTCGCGCGCGGCGCCCGCTGGCAGCCCAGTGGGAAGCCACCCATCGAGAGGAGCACGCCTGGGGGCTTGGCCCAGGCAGGAGTTCGTCTGCCTCCGCTTCTTTCGCCCACAACCTGTCCTCGGAGATAGCGCTGGCCAGGCAACAGGACGTGATCACACGCATGGTGGACTTGATGAAATGTTTCGAAATGGCTGAGCCTGTAGCATTGGTGCGCGAAGCTGTCGAAGTGGGATTTCCACTGGGGCTTGTGCGGCTACTGGTGCAGTCATACTGCCAGCCTCAAGTGGTGCGGGCCCACGGCAGCGAGAGCGAGCTCCACATCTCGTTCCAGGGCATCGTGGCTGGCTGCTCGCAGGCGACCACGCTCCTGGCGGTGCTGATGCACAGAGCCACGCTGCGGCTCAGCGCCCTCTGCCCCGCGCTGCGTCCCAGGCAGTTGGTGGACGACGTGTCGTTGCAGTGGGCTGGCTGGCCCCGCTGGCCGCAGTTGGCCGCAGTTCGCTGGAGCTTGGCGAAGGTATCGACCAGCTCACGCTCGAGCTCAAGTCCCTCAAGCTGCCCATCCAGATCAAGAAGCTGGGCTACGTGGCTTCGTCACGTCGCTCTGCGCGGCGGTTCAGCTTGGCGGCGCGGGCTCGGCAAATTACAGGCCTACCGTGGATCCGCAACCTCGGGCACGAGTTGGGCGGGCCCAGCGTGCGACGCCGCCAGGGGGCCGACAGACTTGCCCAGCTACGCGGCCGAGTTCGGCGATCCATGATTCTCAAGAAGGCAGTGGGCGCCAGGCGCATGACGCGCATCCATGCGGCTGGTCTCACACCGTCGGTCACGCACGGGGCCTCGGTCAGTGGGGTCGCAGACGCCGCGCTCAAGCCGATCCGATCGGTAGCTGCCATGTTGGCGGGAGTGCGCCCCGCGGGGAGCTTCTGCATGGGCATGCTCATGCAGGGCCAGGCTCTGTACGACCCGCTCTACACGGCGACCACCAGCATCGTCTACATGTATGCGACCCGGCGTTGGGGCGGCCGGGTGGAAATGCAGGCCCTCAGGGCCACGCGGCGGTTCGTGGACGGCCAGATGCGCACCCAGCCCAGCTGGGGCAGAGTACGTGGACCCATCGGCGCGCTGTGGCCTTCTTTGGCTCGGATCGGCTGGCGGCTCAGCTCGGCTACCACGTTCGAGACCGACCGTGGCACTGCGTTGCACCTTCTGGAGATGTCGCCTCGCGACGTCCGTGTCCAAGTCAACCAGGGGGTCACGCGCTGGCTGTTGGCGCGGGCCGAGAGCCACATCGAGGGACACAACGGCGAGCAGTTCTGGCACCGCGGCATTCGGCGGTGCGTGGAAAAGGCCGTTCGGGATCTTCCAGACGAGGCTCGCTGCAGTGTGTTTGGACTGATGCGATGTGGCCTCGCCAGAAAATGTTTGAGACGAGAATGACCACTGATGGTCGTTGTCTGGCATGCGGTGCACAGCGTGAGACCCATGGCCATCGCTGGTACAAGTGCCCTGCGCTCCTGGACCCTGCCCTGTACGAGACGGAGCCCCCAGAAGCCATCGTTGAGACCCGCGAGCGTTTGGACCAGCAGGCCCTGGAGTCTGCCCTGGCTGAGCCCCATGAGGCCCTGAGGCTTGCCGATGCCATCCCGCTCAAGCCCCCTCCCGCTGAGACTCCGCCCATGTGCCCCGATTTCGTGCACCATTGGAGAGATGCCGAGGTGCCTTGGGGCGGCCGTCTGACATTGGTGGCGGTGGTTTCGGCATGGACACTCCTGAGATTGCCAGATGTTCGTGGGCTGTGGTCCAGTTGCGAGACGACGGCTGGCCCTGTAACGCGATTTTCGGTACTCTTTCAGGGGTGCAGACGGTGGCCAGAGCTGAGAGATATGCTGGGCTGATCGCTACTTGCTTCTCACCTCAGGTCATTAGTCTTGTCTCGGGCCATTTAAGCTTTATGGGAGAAGGGCAAATGTGGAGCCCTCGCGACGCGTCCGCCTCTGCTCGCCATGCTGCCATCTGGGGAACCCTACGTGCCACGGTGGCCCACCAAGCCAGGAGGCCGCCGTCGTTTGATGGATTCCCTCGCACAAATCCCTGGCCAAGGCTATTGATCTCAATCTTGACCTCCAGGATTGGCTCGGTAATGGGTGGGCCGACCCGTTTGCCAGTTTTGCCCTGGACTTGGCCAGCCCCGCCAAGAGCCTGGTTCGTAGTCTTCAGTTTCGCCTGGAGGAGGCCTGCCTGGAAGCTCGTTTCTTGGCGCAGGCTTCTGCTCGCGTGGCTGGTTCGGGCGTCTAGGACCCTGCGGGGGCTGATGACCCCCCCCCCGAACCTCGGCCACCTAGACTGCTCGCGTTTGTTGCGCACGGTTCTGCGGAGCTCCCTGGAGAGGGGGCGTGGCTTGCAACCGCGCGCACGGCAGAGACCATGCGATGTCTCGAATCGTTTCCCTGCGTGGCTCCTCGCCAGGCCAGGCTCCGCGCTCTGGCGGCCATGCAGGCCGGGGGGGTCGGCCTTGCCCTTCCGCGCCCCTCCCCCGCGGCGGCCTCGGCCCTGGCCGCCGCTGCCGCGGACGCCGCCGCCTCGGCCCCAGCTGAGAGGGCCGAGACATGGCCGCGGTAGGGGAGGGGCGAGCCGCTCGCCCAGGCAGTAAAGAGGGCGACCCTGCCCCCTCTGCGCCCCCGCTCAAGGCTAGACGCAGGTTGCACGGAACTCGGTCGTCCCAAGCCTTCGAGCTGGATCGATCTGCCCGCGTGCTGGCCTCGACCGAGCCCTCGGGCCCGTCTGGGCGCTGGTTTGCCTCGGAGGTCGCGGGCTCGGGACCCGACGTTTCCCCCCGGAGCGTCCGACATGCAGGAACTCAGGAGGAGGAGCAGGATACGGACGAGGAGGAGCAGGAGGAGACGGATACGTGGTATGCGGGATGAAGGGCAGGAAAACTCGAAGGATGATGAGGCGGAGGAGAAGGAGGCGGAGTGGGAGGGGGAGGAGGAGGAGGATGAGGAGGAGGAGAAGAAGCATGCGAAGACGGAGGACGATGCGGATATTGATGAGTAGGAGGAAGGATGTTGAATAGCATCAGCAGGAGGCAGGAGGAGGAGGATGGGAAAGTGGCAGCATTCGGAACACACCAATGTCGCCAGGAAATCAGGATCTCAGGAGGAGGACGGCGAGGAGGAGGAGGATGAGCAAGAGGAGCAGACTCGGAAGAGGGGGGTGAAGAGGAGGATGAAGAGGAGGAGGAGGAGGAGATGGATAAGGATAAGTGGGAGGAGATTTGCAGGACAGGAGGAGGAGGAATGGAAGGAGGAGGAGGAGGAGGAGGAGGAGGAGGAGGAGGAGGAGGAGGGGGAGGAGGACGAGGATGAGGATGATGATGATGATGATGATGATGAGGAGGAGGAGGAGGAGGAGGAGGAGGAGGAGGCGGAGAGAGGCGGCTGAGGAAGCGGCAGAGTTCGGAAAACACCACATATTGCCAGGATATCGGGAAGTCAGGAAATCAGGAGGAGGATGTAGAGGAGGAAGAGGAGGAGGTGGAGGTGGAGGAGGAGGAGGAGGAGGATGCGGATCAGGAGGAAGAGGAAGATGATGAGGAGGAGTAAGTGGAAGAGGAGGGGACGACGAACAAGGATCAGGCGGAGGAAGGCAAGGAGGAGGAGGATTGAGGAGGAGGAGGAGGGAGATCAGGATGATGGGGATGAGGTTGAGGAGGGGGAGGGGGAGGAGAAGCAGGAGGAGGAGGGAAGGAGGAGGAGGAGGAGGAGTAGGAGGCGGAGGAGGGGGAGGAGGAGGAAGTGGGCGTGGAAGCGGCAACGTTCGGATAACACCAATACTGTCTGAAAATCAGGAATTCAGCAAATCCGGAAATCAGGAGGAGGATGTGGAGGAGGAGGAAGAGGAGGATGAGGAGGAAGAGGAGGATGATGAGGAGGAGGAGTAGAATGAGCAATAGAAGGAAAAGGAGGAGGCGGACGATGAGGAGGAGGAGGAGGAGGAGGAGGAGGAGGAGGAGGAGGAAAAGGGAGAGGAGGAGGAGGTGGAGGAGGAGGCGGATGAGGAGGAGGAGAAGAGAAAGAAAAATAAGGATCAGGCGGAGGAAGGCGAGGAGGAGGAGGAGGAGGAGGAGGAGGAGGAGCAGGAGACTGAGCAGACGGAGAAGGAGGAGGAGGATCAGGAGGAGGATGCCGGTGAGGATTGGGATGAGGTTGAGGAGGAGGAGGGAGAGGAGATGCATAAGGATGAGGAGGAGGATGAGGGGGAGGAGGAGAAGGAGGGGGAGGATGAGAATGATGAGGAAGCGGCAACGTTCGGATAAAAGCAAAGGTGCCAGGTAATCAGGAAGTCATGAACTGATGAGGAGGATGTGGAGGAGGAGGAGGAGGAGGAGGAGACGGAGCAGGAGCAGGAGGAGGAAGAGCAGAAGAAGGAGGAGGACGAGAAGGATGAGACGAATAATATTGATCACGCGGAGAAAGGCGTGGAGGAGATGGAGGAGGAGGATGTCCAGGAGGAGGAGGAGGAGGAGGGGGAGGAGGAGCAGATGGAGGACGAGGAGAAGGAGGTGGAGAAGGGGGGAGGAGATGGAGGAGGAGGTGGAGGAGGCGGATGAGGAAGCGGCAGAGCTCGTATAACACCAATACTGTCAGGACATCAGGAAATCCGGAAATCAGGAGGATAATGTTGAGGAGGAGGAGGAGGAGGAGGAGGAGGAGCAGGAGAAGGAGCAGGAGGAGGAGGAGAACATCAGAGAAGATACAGACACATAATGATGAGGCAGAGGAGGGCGGGGAGGAGGAGGAGGAGATTTTGCAGACGGAGGAGGAGGAGGAGGAGGATGGGGATGCGGATGAGGATGAGATAGAGGAGGATTTGAAGGAGAAGCACGAGGAGGAGGAGGAGCAGGGGGAGGAGGAGAAGGAGGGGGAGGAGGAGGCGGATGAGGAAGCGGCAAAGTTCGGATTACACCAATACTGCCAGGAATTCGGGAAGTGATGAAATGAGGAGGAGGATGTGGAGGAGGAGGAGGAGGAGGAGGAGGAGGAGGAGAAGGAGCAGGAAGTGGAAGATGAGGAGGATGAAGAGGAGGAGGAGGAGGAGGAGGAGGAAGAGCAGAATAATAATAAGAAGGATCAGGCGGAGGAAAGCGAGGAGGAGGAGGAGGAGGAGGAGGAGAAGGACCATAATGAGGAGGAGGAGGAGGAGGAGGTTGAGGATGAGGGGGAGGAGAAGCAGGAGGATGAGGAGGAGCACGAGGAGGATTGGCGGCGCTGCCCGCGCGCGCGTTGGCGAACTCCGAGGCCGCCTGTCTGGCGGCCCTGCCGGTGGCGGGCGCCCTTGGCGTGCAGGCGCCGCCGGGGGGTGGGCGGCCGCAGGAAGCTTCTACGGCGGCGGCGGAGTCGACGGCGGCAGTGGCGGCGACGGCAGCTCGGAGGAGGAAAAGCCTGGCGATCCGGGCACTGCGACTGTTTCGAGCCAGGCGGGCGTTTTCGCCCTCTTGCGTGTCCTGGGGCCCTCGCTGTCCGAGATCTGGGCCGATCAGGATGAAGCGGTAAGGGGGCCCTGCAGGTGCTCCGTTGGCGATGGTTGTTTTGTTTCGCTGTGATCCGTGACGACGTTTCGTTTTTTCGCGATGTAGGATTTCAGGGACGTGCCAGTACCGCTCCTCTCCCCTGGTGTTGGCCCTTTTGGGCCTTCTGTGAGACCTTCGTCGCCACGGTCGGCTTCGCCTCGAGATTCCGGATTCTGGCCAGAACGCCCCCTGGGAGAGGTCCTGCGAGTAGCGGTAGCGGTATCGGTATCTGTTCGCTTCCCAGCAGAAGCTTCGACGGCGGCCCGACGACGACGGCGTCGACGGCGATGACGGCGGATTCTAGGTCTCGGTCGGAGGGCGGCGACGGCAACAGCAGAGGCGAAGGCGGCGGCGGCGGCGAGGACTGCACGACGGCGGCGGCGGCGACGGCGGCGGCGGCGAGGACAAGGAAGGCAACGCCGACGGCGGCGACGAAGGCTGCAGCGGCCACCGCCAGCTGCTCCTGGTGGCAGTGCCAGCCTTTTGTCGCCGCGCGTGGGCGTCGGGGGGGTAGGCGCTGCGGGACCGCGAGGTGGTGCTGGGCCACAGCTTGGTGCCCGTGCACCCGGGCGCCCAGGCCTGGCGCTCTTGCCGAGCAGACAGGGGCAGGGTTCCTCGTTGGGGGAGGGGGGGAACAGAGAAAGAGAGAGAGAGGTAGACAGGGAGAGAGGGAGAGAGGGAGAGGGAGAGAGAGAGAGAGAGAGAGAGCGAGAGAGAGAGAGAGAGAAAGAGAGATAGAGAGAGAGGGAATGAGTGCGTCTCGAGAGGCAGTGAAGGCGGGAGAGAGAGAGAGAGAGAGAGCCAGAGAGGGAGAGAGAGAGGGCGAGGGGAAGAGAGGGAGGGAGAGAGGGGTATTGGGTGAGAGCAAGAGTCACGTATGGCTACTTTTTATATTGTATATATGCATATATATATATATGATATATATATATATATATATATATATATATATATATCAGAGTGAGGGGGCTGAGCCGAACGGTCATTCACTGTCCCTGGGTGCGTGGCTGAAGTGAGATTCCGCGATGCGGATTATTGTTGTTGTTGGTGTTGTTGTTGGTGTTGTTGTTGTTGCTGTTGCTGTTGCTGTTGTTGATGTTGTTGGTGTTGTTGTTGTTGGTGTTGTTGTTGTTGCCGCTGCTGCTG